ATATGAAAGAAGAGAAGCAAGGTGCACCACCTAACAAGCAAGATAACTACACTAAGTCTACATTGCAGGCAGTTATAAAGTGATGTATACAATAACATTCTGACAGTCTCTGCTGGTTCTGGGGGCACTCCACGACCGCGGACGTACTTCGTTCCGCTCCTTTAGCAGGTTCTTGGTCGGCCCCTTGCTCCTTGTCTTGCTCCCTCCTTAGAGTGTCCTTCGCCTGTCCAGTCACGGTCACAGTTACAGCCTGCCTCGCCACTCCCTAGTCCTTCTCCATATACTGGTCCAACAGAAGTCTTACGAAGCGTCGTGGGCCTGAGTCTCGTCCTGTGTTGCCTGAGTCTCGTCCTGCATCGCCCGGTCGTGCTGCTTGCACTGGTAGTCGTGTCCCGCGTCAGCTTCCTCTTGCTGTCCCAGGCACGCACCAGATGACGCTTCGTCGTTCCACTGCTCCTCTACGTGTCCCTTTGCCTTCTCCTCCTGCGTTTTCTCTTCCTACCCTTGCTGACCCAAAGTATGGCTCTCTTCGTCCTGCTAGTCCTACTGTCACGCGTCTCCTGGCCACTACTGTCATTGACCCTTCCTTTGAGTCCGCTGCTGCGTCTGCCTTAGTTGTTGAGCTTGTCGACTTTGCTGCTCACTGTCGTCTAGACTACGCCGCGAGTCTTGTTGCTGAGTCTAAGTCTGCCTGTCCTCCGTCCGCCAGGGGTGAGTGTGCTCTTCGCACGGACGTCCTTGAGGACAGGCAGGAGGAGTTTGAGTGCTTTGCTGCTGCTATACCTCAACTCGTTTCCATGCTGATTGCACCTGAGGGAGACCCGGATGCACCAGACATCCCGACCCCGCGCTCTTACGCTGAGGCGATCGTGGGTGAGTACTCCTCTCAGTGGAAGACAGCCATGGACGCAGAAATGGCATCCTAGAACTCCATTTGTACTTACGTCGACGAGGTTCCCCCTCCTGGGGCGAACATCGTCAGTGGCATGTGGATTTTCAAGGTGAAGCGGCTGCCAGGTTCTCCGCCGGTCTTCAAGGCTCGTTACGTTGCTCGAGGCTTCAGTCAGCGAGAGGGAGTAGACTTCTTCCAGACCTTCTCCCCCACCCCAAAGATGACCACTCTTCGGGTGCTACTACACGTTGCCGCTCAGCGTGACTACGAGCTTCACTCTCTTGACTCCATCACAGCTTTCTTACAGGGCAGCCTTCACGAGGAGATCTGGCTGCGCCGCCCTCCTGGCTTCACTGGGTCGTTCCCTTCTGGTACCCAGTGGAGCCTCAGACGGCCGGTCTACGGTCTCCGCCAGGCGCCACGTGAGTGGCACGACACACTGAGGACTACACTTGCGGCTCTTGGGTTCGCGCCTTCTACTGCTGACGCGTCGCTGTTTCTGCGCACAGACACTTCGCTGCCGACGTTCTACATCCTCGTGTACGTCGACGACTTGGTCTTTGTCACTGCTGACACTGAGGCTCTCGCCCTGGTGAAGTCGGAGCTGCAGAAGAGACACACGTGCACAGACCTGGGTGAACTGCGCAGCTACCTTGGCTTGCAGATCACCCGGGACAGAGCACGGCACACCATCACACTGACTCAGTCACACATGGTGCAGCAGGTCCTTTAGCGCTTCGGCTTCACTTGGTCCTCGGCACAGCCGACTCCTTTGGCTACAGGTCACTCGCTCTCAGCTGCACCTTCGGACGAGTCCGTAGAGCCAAGTGGTCCTTACCTAGAGCTAGTTGGCTGCCTCATGTACGTGATGACTTGCACTCGTCCTGACCTCGCATACCCTCTTGGCCTTCTGGCTCACTAAGTGGCTCCTGGTCGTCATCGAAAGGTGCACATGGATGCTGCTAAGAGGGTACTGCGCTACTTGTGCAGTACATCAGGCATGGGGCTCATGCTTGGAGGGAGGAGCTCAGTTGTTCTTAGTGGGCACTCAGACGCTTCTTGGGTTGACGACCAGGCTACTCAGCGGTCGTAATAGGGTTATACCTTCAGCCTTGGCTCGGGTTCAGTTTCTTGGCATTCTACACGCTCGTCTTCAGTTCTCAGCTCCAGTTGTGAGGCTGAGATCTACGCCACAGCCATGGCTGCACAGGTGTTACGTTGGCTCACCTACCTGCTGACCGAGTTGGGAGAGCGGCCTTGTTCTCCTCTAGTGTTGTACGTCGACAGCAAGGCTGCCATTGTCTTGTGTGAGGAGCACATACTGGAGCACAGAACGAAGCACATCGCTCTGCGTTACGTCCTGGCTCGAGAGTTGCAGCAGCGTGGTTAGCTTCGTCTTGCTTACGTGGCCACTCAGGCCAACACAGCTGATATATTCACCAAGGCACTTCAGTCTGGTGATCATCAGCGTTTCTGCACTATGCTAGGGCTTGTGCCCACCTTTCCTCACTTGCTGTAGGCTTTGCTTGTATTGTGATCTATATATATATACCTGCATGCTTGCTTTGCTAGGTAGAGATCACTGTGATGTTTGTGTTGCATATATGCCTCTGCATGTGAAATGGCCCTGTGGCTCTTTGCTTGTGATCAGTGAGTGTGGTGACGTTGTGATCCACCCTGAGCTTGCTTTGTCTTTATTGACTAGTCTTGTGACCCCTTGTTCTCCCCCACTTTGCCTATGGGGGTGTGTCAAATGTTATATCTGCTATAGTTGGTTTACGCTGTAGGGGGGTAGTTCTTTTGAGGTACAGTAAGTTTAGGCTTTACCATTTGTACCCAACTCTTTCCTAGTCCATTCACTTCTCTCATTCTGACACATGTGTTGTCCGCAACAAGTGTCCAAGAACCAAGTGTCCTTCCCGGACGGCTCGCTCTGAGCGATGGCTGCGTATGTCGGGTTCGGCTCCACTGTTTCACGGCGAGGAGTGCTCTCATCGAGCAGTTCTTCTGGTGAGTAGTGTGGTGGTGATTCGGTGTTGCAGGAATCTGACAGTTTTGCCATGTAGCTCACGATGTTTCTTGCTCCTTGTGAAGGTTGTGTCGGTGAGGTAGTTGAAGACTTCGTCCGACTTGTGGGGTGCGCCTGTGTGGATGCTACTTGGCTGCTTGAAAGACGAAGTTGACTTTGTGGCGGTGTTGGCTGCTGTCGATTCGGGCAATGTGTGCGAGGGTACCCTGATGTCTTGCAAAGATGACAAAACGTAGGTACGGGTTTTGGTTGATGCCGGTTGTTGTTGTTGTTGTAGCGCCGTTGAGTGTGGAATGCAAATTCGTGCACTGACATTTACTTCTTGTGCCGCTCCTCGTGCATGTCCATGTATTGTTGCTTGGCGTGTATTTCGGCGCACAGTGCTGCTTCTGAGATTTTTCCATGAGCTCGGAGTATGGCGTGAGTGGAGCGCCAGTGAAGATCAAGACCGGAGATGACGACTGTGACGAAGGCTTCTTCGGATATCGATCCTCCGCATCGAAGGAGTTTGTCGCGCAATTCGCGACAACGACTGATATTGACTATTCCCTTTTCACCCGGTTTCATTTTGACTATTGTCAGCTGTGCCATTAATCGACTTTGATTGACGCTGTCTGTTGCTTGAGACCAGTTCTTCAAGTGGTTGTACGCGAGCTCGGCGGAGTTGCCATATCCCCGATAAGACTGAATGTTCTGCTGCTGGTTTGGAGTTACGTTTCTTAGCAAGATCGTGTAAGCCATCATTGACTGATACGTGTACTGCTGCTTGTCGTATTGTATTCCGTGTGTCGGGTATGGCAGGGACCCGTCAAAGAATCCAAGAATCTGCGCGCCTTCCATCATCAGCTCAAACTCGAATGACCAGGTATAGAAATCCTTCTTGTCGAAAGGTGTTGATGTTTGAAGTTTCAGAACGTGCGGGAACTGCGACTGAACCTGAAGTGCGTCCAATATCTTTTCTTGTCCAGGTGAAGGCTGCTGACGCGACATGAAGCTTATGGAGCCGCGCTGGGGCTCGTACGGAGCAAAGGTAGGCTGCTACTGGTTTTCGCGCGCATACGATGAACCATCGAGGCTCATGGGCGTAACGTTGTTGTTGTTGTTGCTGATGTTTGACTGCGCAGGTGCCGCTTGCTGGTGTTGTTCGTAGAAGGACATGAAGGAGAAGAACTTCTCCATCATGCTTGGGTCAAAGCCCGCGGCTTGATTCGCGGGAGTTTTAGTAGACCCAACTGCTGGTCTTGTTGCCGTGCCCTCCTCTGTCTGTAGGCCAGAGGCAGGAGGTGGAGTAGGAGTAGTACCGGGAGAGCCGTTAGAGGAGCTTCTCTCCTTCTGTGTTGCCATGCCTTTTGATGCTGTAGGTGCTTTGAAATAGTTGAGTTTGCCCTGATAGCTCTCATACCATGTTGGGCTGAGAAAAGCCCTTAGGATCTTTGCAGGGCTAAACTCTGGGTAGGAATGTTGTAGTTGTGGAAGCGTTTCAATAAGAAGTATTGAACCACCTTGCGGTGGTATGTGAGGGCAAAGTAGATTGATTAAAACACGGAGATACAAGGTTTTCATAAGAGTACAAGGAATACGAAGAGATACAGCTAACAACCGTTTTACTGTTGCTGTTGCGGTTCGATACAGTGACGACTCGGGCAACTGCTCAAAAGCGAGTCAGTTGTTTGTCCTTGCTGTCGCGCTGTATTTGTCAGATCAAAGGTCGCTGACCTTTGACTTTCGCATAACCTCCAGCAGTTACTTTTCTTCTCAACCTCCAAAGGTTGACTCGCCGATGCTTCGTTGTGCTTCGCTTTGTTTACGACTTAGTGTTTTGACACACAACAGAAGCGCTTAAATTACTTGTTTCCAACAGATGTCATTTTTTAAACGCATCAACCCTAAACACCTTGCGACAAGGTGTTTAGGGTTGATGTCATTCCCAATGGGTTTTTTTTTCCCACTCGGGCAGAAACGTAGAAAGACTTGTTGTGAGAAATGTCAAGAACTGGCCAATGAGAAGCCGATTCCAATGATGTATCACTAATTCTATCCACTAGGTCACAAATCGGCGGAAAGCGTCCCGAGGTAGAGATGCAGTTCCCTATGTCAGATTTATATGACATAGTTGCTGTAGGCTAAAGTGGGGTAGCACATATGGGGTACAGGGTTTCCAGGGTTGTATTTGTACCCAATCTTTCCTTAGTCATTCCATCCCTGTTCACTTGTTTCACATGGTATAGAGCGGGTCCTTCCTAAGGACCGTTTTTTTAGGGCCCACCGAAGCGCGCCCCGAGGCGCGCATTTTTTTTTAGCGACCCCTCGGGTCGCCATTTCCCTCGCGGCCCCGCTGTCCCTCAGACGCGGCCCCGCCACCCCTCCTGATCGCGGCCCCGCCGCCTGCTTGACGCGGCCCCGCCGCCTCCACTGACGCGGCCCCGCCGCCGGCTCTGACGCGGCCCTGCCGCCCGCTACGGCGCGGCCCCGCCGCCTACTTGACGCGGCCCCGCCGCCTCCACTGACGCGGCCCCGCCGCCGGCTCTGACGGGGCCCTGCCGGCCCGCCGCTGCACCTGACGGCCCCGCCGCTGCACCTGCCGGCCCGCCGCTGCACCCTACGGCCCGCCGCTGCACCCTACGGCCCGCTGCCTCACCTGACGGCCCCGCCGCTGCACCTGCCGGCCCGCCGCTACACCCTACGGCCCGCCGCTGCACCCAGCGGCCCGCCGCTGCACCTGCCGGCCCGCCGCTGCACCCTACGGCCCGCCGCTGCACCCTACGGCCCCGCCGCTGCACCTGCCGGCCCGCCGCTGCACCCTACGGCCCGCCGCTGCACCCAGCGGCCCGCCGCTGCACCCAGCGGCCCGCCGCTTCACCTGACGGCCCAACCGCTGCACCTGCCGGCCCGCCGCTGCACCCTACGGCCCGCCGCTGCACCCAGCGGCCCGCCGCTTCACCTGACGGCCCCGCCGCTGCACCTACCGGCCCGCCGCTGCACCCTACGGCCCCGCCGCTGCACCTGCCGGCCCGCCGCTGCACCGGTCGACCCGCCGCTGCACCTGCCGGCCCGCCGCTGCGCCTGACGGCCCCGCCCCTGCATCTCCCGGCCGAGCCGCCCCAGCAGCAGAGCCGCCCCAGCAGCCAAGCCGCCCCAGCCGCCGAGCCGCCCCAGCAGCCGAGCCGCCCCAGCAGCCGAGCCGCCCCAGCAGCCGAGCCGCCCCAGCTGCAGTGCCGCCGAGTCGCCCGAGCCGCCCAGCAGTCGAGCCGCCCGAGCCGCCCGAGCCGCCCGAGCCCTCCTTGCAGTGCCCTGTCTGGTGAGCACTGAGCTTTACTCTGCGCACTGCCCTCTCTCTACTGCTGTCATGGCTACCCCCAGTGTCCTCGCCTTTGACGCTGAGGGCAGAGCCATTGACTTTGACGTGTGGGTAGACGACCTACTGCTTTTCCTACAGTGCGACAAAGCTGACGAACTCTCTCTCTCTTTGATCTCACTTCTGGTGCCTCTCCCGCCCCTGCTGCTACTAAGGATGCCACTGTTCGCTCACAGTGGGCCACACGCGATGCTGCTGCACGTCTTGCTGTGCGTCGCCACCTCCCTCCCGCTGAGCGTGCGCACTTTGGGTCGTACAAGAGTGCTAAGACCTTGTACGACGCCGTTATTGCACGCTACTCCACCCCTGCCACTGCTGCACTGAGCCGCCTCATGCTACCGTACCCACCTGCGCACTAGTGACGCTCGCTTCCGTGCTGCACTTCCTGCTGAGTTCTGCGCCAAGAACCCCCCCCCCCAGTACTTCACTCTCTACTACATTGTCACCCGCCTCCCTGACTCCCTTCGCGGAGTCAGGGACGACCTACTCGCAGTCTCCCCCACCACTCTCACTGTCGAGATCCTCGAGAAGTCCCTCCTAGCAGCCGAGAAGAGCATTCTCGCTGTAGGGGTCTCTCGTGGTGACCCTCGCAACCCCATCTTTGAGGGGTGTTCCCCCTCCCCCCTCCTGCCCTCTGTCGCCTCTGCTGCTACGGCCGACCTTGTTGGTTTTGAGTCGGTCGGAGCGGCGTCTGCCCCCAGCGGGAGACGTCGCTCTGGCAAGAGCAAGGGGGGCAGGGGCGGTGGTGGAGGCGGCGGGGGCGGTGGAGGCGGAGGTAGAGGCAGCGGCAGAGGTGAGGGTGGTAGCGGGAGTAGTGGCGGGAGTGGAGGTGTCGGCGGAGGCAGTGGAGGCGAGGGCGGCAGCGGCGGTGGTAGTGGGGGTGGAGGCGGAGGCGGCGGTGGCGGCGGCGACGGTGGGAGTGGCGGTGGCGGTGGAGGTGGTGGCGGCGGCGGCGGAGGAGGCGGCGGAGGTCGTGGCGCGCCGAGGAGGAGTGGCTCCGGTGGTGGTCAGCGCCAGCAGCAGCAGCGTGGTCAGGAGACCCTCTCCCCGCAGCAGCTCCGTGAGTGGTACTCTGCGCGTCAGCGGGGTGGGGGTACTGGTCCGTGCACTTACGTCCTGCGCACTGGCGACCGTGCGGGTGAGCAGTGTGGTGGTCCACACTCCACCCAGCGTTGCTTCGGCCGTCTGACTGACGCTTGGCGCCGCTAGTTTCCTGACGCCTCTGAGATCCCTCGCTGGGACCAGCTCTCTAGGGCTGGAGTAGCTATCTTTGATCTTGACTTTGATGCTATTCTTGCTGCAATGTATGCTGTGACTATTAGTGAGGAGGGTGACTGTTACTGGTGTTTCCCGCCCGACCCGGGCATTGGTACTGCGACTCTAGGTGCTGTTGAGGCTGCTGCTCCAGGTGCTGGTGAGGCTGTTGCTCTAGGTGCCCGTGAGTCTGAGTCCTCAGGTGCTGGTGAGTCTGCTCTCTCAGGTACTGTGTTGACTTCACCCTCTCTCACTTTCACTCTTGACTCCGGGGCATCTCGCTCCTTCTTTCGAGACCGCACCACACTCACGCCGCTTAGTCGGCCAGTGGCGGTCTCCTTGGCAGACCCCTCTGGGGGTCCTGTTCTGGCTCGCTACTCCACTGTCCTGCCGTGCCCTGCGGTCCCGTCTGGCGCCCTGTCCGGTCTCTACCTCCCCTTGTTCTCTACGAACTTGGTGGCGGGTGCTGACCTACAGGATGCAGGGGTTGACCAGTTCACCCCTGCGCGCCGACGAGTCACCCACTGCACGGACGCGGACACGGGTCGACACCTGACCACATTCACACGTGGTCCAGGGTGGAGCCTGTACACACTCACTGTTCCGTCTCCTCCTCCTGCGTCTGGTCAGGTAGCTGCGTCGGGTCAGGTGTTTGCTGCAGCGTCCAGATCTGGTCCTGAGTCTGCCCCCTGCTCGTGTCGCCTCCTGTCCCACGAGACCCTCCTGTGGCACCACAGGATGGGTCACCCCTCCCTGCCTCGTCTCCGGGGCATGGCCTCTCGCCTTCTTGTCTCTGGCCTTCCCCGGTCCCTCCCTCCCCTTCCTTCGGGGCCTGGCCCTCCCTGTGTCCCCTGTGCCGAGGGTCGCCTGCGGGCTACCCCTCACTCCTCCCCGTTCCCTCCGACGGAGGCCCCGATGCAGACGCTTCACATGGACGTGTGGGGCCCAGCCCGCGTCCGTGGACAGGGTCACGAGCGCTACTTCCTGCTGGTGGTTGACGACTACACGCGTTACACCTCAGTCTTCCCCTTGCGCAGCAAAGGTGAGGTCACTGAGGTGTTGATCGTCTGGATCCGCGCAGCTCGTCTCCAGCTCAGGAAGAGCTTCGACTCAGACTTTCCTGTTTTCCGCCTGCTCTCGGACAGAGGCGGAGAGTTCTCCTCCGGCCTTCTGCGAGCCTACTGTCGGGCACGAGGCATCCGCCAGACCTTCACGCTTCCGGACTCTCCACAGCAGAATGGGATTGCTGAGCGCCGCATCGGCATTGTCATGGACGTCGCCCGTACGTCCATGGTGCATGCGGCTGCCCCCCATTTTCTGTGGCCGTTTGCGGTTCGGTACGCCGCGCATCAGATCAACCTTCACCCCAGGGTCTCTCGGCCCGCGATGTCCCCAGTCTTGATGTGGACGGGGAAGGTTGGCGATGCGTCGGCGTTCCGTGTCTGGGGATCTCGGGCGTTTGTCCGCGACTTGTCTGCGGACAAGCTGTCCCCTCGTGCTGCTCCCTGTGTCTTCCTTGGCTTCCCCCCTGACGCCTCAGGGTGGCAGTTCTACCACCCCTCCTCTCGTCGTGTTCTGTCCTCCCAGGACGTCACGTTCGACGAGTCAGTCCCCGTCTACCGCCTCTTCCCCTACCGCACTCCTTCCCTCCCCCCTCCACCGGACTTCCTTGTGCCGGTTCCCCCCCCGGTAGACCCCCTCCCCCCTCAGGTTCCTGCTCCCTCAGGTGTGTCCCAGGTAGACGCCGTTGACCCGGTCGAGGTTACTGGTGACTCTAGTGCTGCTGCGGGTGCTGGGCCTGGGGGTGCTGCCTCTGGGGGTGCTGTGCGCGGGGGTGCCGGGCCTGGAGGTGCTGCTACTGGGGGTGCTGAGCCTGGGGGTGCTGGGCTTGCGGGTGCTACTGCGGAGGGTGCTGAGCCTGGGGGTGCTGAGCCTGGGGGTGCTGAGCCTGGGGGTGCTGAGACTGGAGGTGCTACGCCTTGGGTGCTGAGCCGGGGGGTGCTGTGTCAGGAGCTGCTGAGCCTGGGGGTGCTGAGTCTGGAGCTGCTGCGCCTGGGGGTGCTGCGTCTGGAGCTGCTGAGCCTGGGGTTTCTCCTGCTGCTGCGTCTCGCCGGGAGCCCCTCTCTCCACAGGAGCTGCGCGAGTGGTTTGCTCGCCGCTGGAGGCATGCTGCTGGAGCTGGAGCTTCTTCGACCGTCGAGGGTGCTGGTCCTGCCGGTCCCGGAGCTGCTGGGCCTGCGGGTCCTACTGGAGCTGGAGCCGCTGAGGGTGTTGGTGCTGAGACAGCTGCTGTCTGTCCTGGCGGTGGTTCTGCTGCTGGTGCTGCTGGAGGTCCTGCTGCTGGAGGTGCTGGTGGCGCTGGAGCTGTCGCTGAGGGTGCTGGTGCTGTACCTGCTGAGTCTGGAGTTGCCGCGCGGCCTCGGCCGTACTTCGTTCCGCTCCTGCAGCAGGTTCTTGGTCTTTCTCCTCCGGTAGAGTGTCCATAGCCTGTCCAGTCGCAGTCCCTGTTAAAGCCTTCCTCTCCACTGCCTGCTCCCTCTCCTTACACTGGTCCTACTGGAGGTCTTGCTGAGCGTCGTGAGCCTGCGTCTCGTCCTGCCTCGCCTGTTCGTTCTGCTCCCACTAAAGGTCGCGGTTCGCGTCAGCGTCCTCCTTCTGTCCCTGGCACGCACCGGATGTCTCTGCGTCCGTCCACTGCTCCTCTGCGTGCCCCTTTGCCTTCTCCTCCTGAGTCCTCTCTTCCTGCGCTTGCCGACCCAGAGTCGGACTCTCTTCGTGCTGCCAGTCCTACTGTCACGCGTCTCCTTGCTACTGTCGTCACTGACCCCTCGTTTGAGTCCACTGCTGCGTCTGCCCTTGTCGCTGAGCTCGTCGACTTTGCTGCTCGCTGTCGTCTAGACTACGCTGCTAGTCTTGTTGCTGAGTCAGCGTCTGACTGTCCTCCGTCTGTCGGGGGTGACTGAGCTCTTGGCACGGACGTCCTAGAGGATAGGCAGGAGGAGTTACAGTGTCTGGCGGCTGCTTCACCTCATCTCGCGTCTGTACTGCTTGCTCCTGAGGGAGACTCGGATGCACTAGACATCCCGACTCCGCGCTCTTACGCGGAGGCCGTAGAGGGTCCCTACTCGTCTCAGTGGCAGGCAGCTATGGATGCAGAGATGGCTTCCTGGAAGTCCACAGGCACCTATGTTGACGCAGTTCCCCATCCTGGGACGAACATCGTCAGTGGCATGTGGATCTTCAGAGTGAAGCGGCCGCCGGGCTCTCCACCTGTCTTCAAGGCGCGGTACGTTGCTCGTGGCTTTAGTCAGCGGCAGGGAGTTGACTACTTTCAGACCTTCTCTCCCACCCCGAAGATGACCACTCTTCGGGTGCTGCTGCACATAGCCGCTCAGCGCGACTACGAGCTTCACTCTCTCGACTTCAGCACTGCGTTCCTGCAGGGTAGCCTGCACGAGGAGATCTGGCTGCGCCGTCCACCTGGCTTCACTGGGACTTTCCCTCCTGGGACTACGCTTGCGGCTCTTGGGTTTGCTCCCTCTACTGCTGACCCGTCGCTGTTTCTGCGCACCGACACTTCTCTGCCGCCGTTCTACATCCTCGTGTACGTCGACGACTTGGTCTTTGCCACAGCGGACACTGCTGGACTCGCCTACGTGAAGTCCGAGCTGCAGAAGAGACACACGTGCACAGACCTGGGTGAACTGCGCAGCTACCTTGGCTTGCAGATCACTCGGGACAGAGCACGCCGCACCATTACCTTGACTCAGTCACACATGGTGCAGCAGGTCCTTCAGCGCTTCGGCTTCACGTACTCCTCGCCTCAAGCCACTCCTCTGTCTACTCGCCACTCGCTCTCAGCTCTGCCTTCGGATGAGTCCGTAGAGTCGAGTGGCCCGTACCCAGAGCTTGTTGGCTGCCTCATGTACCTGATGACCTGCACACGACCTGACCTTGCATACCCTCTGAGCATTCTTGCACGCTATGTTGCTCCTGGGAGACACCGACCAGAGCACATGGCTGCAGCGAAGAGGGTGTTATGCTACCTGTGCAGTACGTCGGGCATGGGGCTAGTGCTTGGAGGGCGGAGTCCAATGGTCCTTACAGGGCACGCGGACGCTTCTTGGGCTGACGACCAGGCTACGCAGCGGCCGTCACAGGGTTACACCTTCAGTCTTGGTTCCGGCTCTGTCTCGTGGCGGGCTACTCGCTCGTCTTCGGTTCTCAGCTCCACTTGTGAGGCTGAGATCTACGCTGGGGCCATGGCTGCACAGGAGCTTCGCTGGCTCACCTACCTGCTGACTGACCTTGGAGAGCCGCCTCGTTCTCCTCCAGTGGTTTACGTAGACAACAAGGCCATGCTGGCCTTGTGTCGAGAGCAGCGTATGGAGCACAGAACGAAGCACATTGCTCTTCGCTACTTCCTTGCTCGTGAGCTGCAGCAGCGTGGACAGTTGCGGCTTGCGTACGTGGCCTCTGAGGCCAACACTGCTGATGTGTTCACCAAGGCACTCGCGCCTTGTGACCATCAGCGCCTCTGCACCCAGCTGGGTCTTGTGCCTGTCTTGCCTCACTTGCTCTCCTCTTGACTTTACTTGTACTGTGACATATATATACCTGCTCTTGCTTGTCTAGTTTTATATATATATGTCTGTACTCCTGCATGTGAACTGGCCTCTGGCCCTGCTCTTGTGCTCGGACTGTGTGGTGACGTTGTGATCCACCCTGAGCTTGCTCTGCTTTGCTTTACTTGACTGGTCTTGTGACCCCTTGTTCTACCCCACTTTGCCTATGGGGGTGTGTCAGATTTATATGACATAGTTGCTGTAGGCTATAGTGGGGTAGCACATATGGGGTACAGGGTTTCTAGGGTTGTATTTGTACCCAATCTTTCCTTAGTCATTCCATCCCTGTTCACTTTTTTCACACCCTAGAAAGCGCAAGACCCACAATAACACCCCCTCGATACCTGAAAACCCATTTTTGGGTTGCGAAGCAACCCTTTACGATCGATTTGGTCATTATTTATTTTCATCATTGTATTTAATTAATTATAAAAGTAAAATCTGGAAGCTAGAGTAATACCTTCTATACTGTGTGGTTGTTGAGCAGTTTTGAATACTGTTTGAGTATTATTAACCATACTGATGAATTTTCATGGTTTCATACAAACCGGTACTATTTGCAAATTGTTTTCTATGTTGGATGATATATCAATATTACGTGACAGCCATGAAATGCATATAATACCACATGTTATGAATTCCACGCACATACTTAAATAAACGTAATGATGCAAATTATATATATCAAATGCATGAATGGTAAAATATGCAAATGATACACTGAAATGTATACAAAATAGAAATGCGTGATAGTTAACGACCCAAAAACTAGGCTACCGCATCCCCTGCCTAGCATTGGGGGGGGAAGTCAATAACGTAATTTTTTAATAATCAACAAAATCATGAAACAACACAATTCGTGAACTCTAAAAAAACAAAATTTAACTCTATCAGATCCAGTTCGAAGTGGCCAACACACAAGTCACTGAATGCGCCAAAGAACCTTTGAGAAATGAGAGAAGGAAACTTCTTTTGAAATTGACAGACATGCACTGTTATGTCAGATGTT